AGTTGATACGTTGTAAATGAGCTACCGTTGCTTGGACTTGGATTCGAGAAATTTTGTTTCTATTCGTTTAGAAATAATTGAACGAAAAAAGCTGGATGGAAAAATGGGACCAAAAAATGGTACCAGAAAAAATTTGAAGATCTCTACAATTCATTTCGTCGTGAATTTGTCAGACAAATTCGTAAGTAGATTTAGCGATGCATTTTAATTATAAAAGTACGGAGATTTTTCTGAATTTAATAATTATAATTTTATCCCCTTTATGCGTATGGAATATAAAGCAAAAATTTTTCGTACCAAATTTTTTTTACCAACATTTCCACGGATGCCATTATTTTTTTATTTCAATATAACGAAAGAAGAGAAAAAGAGGAATTTAAAGCGCTATTACGGTAATTACGAAATAATACGCATACGAAATAGCAAAAGAGAAAATTTTTATCGAAAATACCGAATTTTATCCACTTTACGTTCCCTCGGTAACGGTACGAATTAATCGAAATCGATTTTTCGAAAAATTTCGATCAAAAATTGGAGCGATCTGGTTGGAAGAGGTTGAAATCCACGAAGAAAGCTCTCGAATTCAGCTTACTTCGGCATACGTGACGTTCCAAGGAATCGAATTAACGCGAAGCGCAGGATCCCACCAAATATTCCAGGAGATCGCGGATTGATGTAATCGCGGAATGATTTTGGCGATCGTTGGGAACTCCGTGGAAAGCTTTTCCAGCCGAAAATTTCCAGCCATTGTCAATGCAGGGAGCGTAGGCGGTGCCTGATAAAACCGCTTGCAAGATAGGGTCACTTTTCCAGTCACGTCCCGAGGATCTGTAATTGAGAAGGATAGGAATCGGTAGTCATCGGTAACGATTCGAATCCAAGTTCTCTGCTCTGCTCATTCCTCATTCCTCGTAGGAGCAAACCGTGAAGATGTTAGAGGAATCAACGAGAGATAAATCATCTCGTATGAAAATTAAAAATTGTTAACGCTGCTTAACATTTCTCTTCTATACAAATCCACCATAGCAGCATTAATCGCTATGATACGCAAAACGTAGGATCGCAGAATGGAAGAGTAAAGGGACAACGGCTATGCATTCTTGCATAGAACTTTCCTCACGACGCATAAAATTCGTTCTATAATATCCTCGTCTCCCATCTGTTTCAAAACATGTAAATCAAGCCCGGGACAAGTTTAGATATGCGAAACTCGATACATCGGACGTTATCTGATTGTTCGACGGGAAAAAGGAAAAATCGGTATCGCGGAGGTAACGTTTCTTAGGATTCGCCGTCGTGGAGACAGCATATCGTGGCCAGGTTGAAGGAAAGGTCAACGGTTGCGTCTTCCTCCTGCCGCGCTACCAACGAGTTTCATCCTCGTGCTCCATCCTCGTGCTCTCTACGTCCCCCTGTACGTCCGTCTAGCTGGATACGTCCGTTTGTCTAGCGGATTGTCGCCGTGTCGTGTTCGAGTTACCGGTACAGACGGACCGTTGTGTCCACGGCGAGCCGCTTGTAACGTGCAATCTTTGCAGCCCGTGCTCAATGCCGGTTTGTAACACGGAAGTGCATACACGCGATATCACGAGACAACGAATCGGCTGTCCAGCAACGATGACGCGCCGTGTCGCGCGGGTTAACGACTCCGTGGAAAGGATTTTCCATCGGCCATTCGGTGGGGAAGGTCATCGAGCGAACGTCACACCAACGATCCTTCTTGTGTTTCTCCTTTCGTGTGCATTGTCCTCTGGGTCAGTCGGCCGCCAACACAGGATTCGTCGGGATTAAAGGGCAATTATGTTAATAAGGGAAGATTGAACGATGACTGCAACGATTAATAACGTCGGCTGCCGGCCATGTGAACGTGCCTCAAACCCGTTCGTATATATATATATACACAATGAATAGTACTCCACGTAATTTAATAAGTACATCAAGTGATGGACGGCTCGAGAGGCGTACAGAAGTCACGTAATAAGTCAGTGCGGCGTAAATTGAACTATTCTGTGAATGAAAACTTTTCGTTTCTTTATTACACTCGCGATCGAGAGTGACTCGACTCGACACGAGAAAGGAGGGTAATCGATACGTCGAACGGATATTGTCGCTTCTCAGGGCGGCGAACGAGGTCGAACGAAGGAAGGTGCTCGAAAAATTCTATTACACGGTATGAATCGGTATGACAGGTATTGAACCGAAATTACGCGCGCGCTTACGAGAGAGCATCGATGGAAACCGATCGGCGAAACGTACGACGATATCGTGTGTACGCAACCGGGCTGTTGGCCGATTGGCACGGTTGGTGCGCCAACGTCCAATATATTTTCTACCGGTTGTTACGAATGATTGGCAATTATCGATGCTGTCGTTGGGCTACCAATAACACCGGCCAGAAAATCGTCAGATTCGCGGCGAAACGTGTACGAGTACACGTCGAAGCGTGCGTATCGTTCGTCGATCCTCCCCCCAACCTCGACTATTCATTATTGGCTGTGCAACGGTTACACGGTCCACCACTCTCAACGACCAGACGTTGCGTTAACGTTACTTAACAACCTGGACATGTTTATAACCCTATAAAAACGGTTTCAGTTGTTTCGTTATTATCGTCGGCGCGAAACAGTCTTTTCAATTACCGCCACGCGTATATTCGAATATGTTGACCAGGTTCCTTCGATCATTGGAGGAGGTTCGAACGTGTCCGTTCGCTTATTACATACTATCTTTAAATGGGATTTGTTATTGATTCGACGCGTTGGAGGAAACTCGTTTCTTCGTTGTAATGGGCCTTACAATGTTTCCTTGATAGCAATACTCGGGCTTCGTAATGCCCACGAAGTGAGTTATCCACACTCGTTCGAGTGGTCATGCAAGAAATATAAACGGAGAAGGAATATATGAATAATGTTCAGAAGAAAATTGAACACTTATAGATTGTAATAGTAAATACCTGAGATTCTTCGAACGATTCACTGGATGCCAATTTCCTATATCCCAATTCGTCGTATCTGAACCCGTGTCGATCGTCATTGGATAGAAATTCAAATTTGAGCAGATCTCGAACAGGCAGGTGAAATGAAATGGGCCACCATTTCGGAAGGAGAGTCGGGAAAAAAGTCGTTGATCGAGGCGAGATCGTCGCGTCACGAGCTATCCACCTTTCGACCAACACCAGCAACGAAGAAAGTTCGAACGTGTTTAGGGCGGAAGGGAAGAAGAAGTTCGGTAAGAGGTGGGTCTATGGGATGTCGGGTTGTGCTTAGCTCGTGTCAGGAATGTAATTCACACGCCGCTGGCATTCCGTTCCATTCCATTCCGCTCGCGGCTTCTCTTTTGTGGCGCGGCGTCACGAGGTGGCGGCGGCAGCGGCCTTCTTTTTCACCTGGCCACCTCTCGATCCTTGCTCGACCCATCGCCTTCGAGAGAGAAAGAAAGAGAGAACACGTTCAGGATCGCGAAACCGTGGATCGTGTTCTCGTTGGTTTTGGTTAAACGGCGCATTCAGGACCCCTTCGTTCGTTTCGAAGCGGCTCCTCATTCTTTCGTGGATTCTGGTTCCATTACGGGAAGCGGCAAGAAGTCGGGGAGAACGGTGGTCGGCTCGGACTCGGCCAGTTGACGTTGATTCGCACCGATTAGTCGAACATAGCCGCCCGTTTTTACGATTTTTCAGGTTTTGCCCCAGGACTAATCGAGACGAAAACTTTTGTCGCGTGATGAATAGCGTTCACGAGTAGGTTGAAGCGAAGATTCACTAACTTAATAACCAGCGTTATCGTCACGAATTATCCCCCGGTGTATCACCGAATAAACTCTTTAACTTTTACCGATTCGAAATATTATCGTAATCCCAAGCTAGATGATTTTACACGGACACTTTCCATCACACTTTCCATCAGATTCTCTGAACGAACGAACAATCTCACCTCCATATTCGAAATTCGTCCGTCTCGCACCAGCAATCTACCGTTCACTGCTGAAAATAAAAGTCTCGCGAAAGGAATACGAATCCGGATTGGCTACTGCGAAAGGAAACGCCTATTTTCACACGTGTTTTTCTTTTCAACGGTGTATTCCTCACGTATACTAATCCTACTGTAGTAGTGGTGCGTAGTGTTGACAACGAAGCGTCCAAAGTGATAAGCGGTGCTCGTAGAGGAGAAGGACTCCTCTTGGCCCCGCGCCGTCCCCCGCGCGAGTACAAATTAGAAAATTTCCGTCTAGTCGAGTGTTTGCAACTGGAACAAGCAGCGTAACATCGAGTGGCCGGTGAATCGTGGCGGTGAACGTTTAAGAAGTGCATCGCATTACAGAAGAAGCGGCGTGGACACGCCGCGCCGGTGTCACGTGGCGGAGGAACAGAGGAGCCGCATTCCTCGCGGTTCCTCTTTCGCAGAGGTTCGCAGTCCTGGTGAGAACGGTAGAGGAGCGGTATTTATTACGACGTTGGCCCAGTTTAGCAAATTAGTTACATGGCCCCTTAACCACGCCACGTAATGCATGCTCTCGCCGCATTCTTCTCCCGTGTAATTCCGCCGCGACTCTCCTCTCCTGTACACCCGCGGTGGTTCCAGTTTCCAACCAGATCCTGCCATCTCGGAAATCGCGGCTAATTCGCCGCGAAGGGGAATGCGCGAGGATCGTCTTGGCCATTCGGTTCAATGACATCGAATTATTTCGGCAAATGACGGAAGCGAGGCTTTACCCTTCGTACCGTGGTGACAATGGGGCCAATTTGGACGAATTGATCGTTCCTGTCCGTGATGATGTCGTGAATGTGACAGTGCTTGTACCGTTGCGGGATGCTGGCTCGTTGTTAAAGGTTATTGTTAAAGGTCAAGGTAATTTGTTACTCTCGGCAATGCAGTTGCAAAATGATACGCGTCAAAATGATTGATACGATACGGTGTACGTGTATGTGGTATATAGCGAGTTATCGGGAGTGACGCGAATCGATAGAATCGTGAATACGTTGTGTTTACTAAGTGGAAAGTCGTGGTGGACTAAGAGCGACGCAATAATAACATTACGCGTCGTGGGAAAGTTCGAAATATTTCGAAAACGAAAACATCGTAACGCGATTCTCCGAATTTCGTTTAGTCATAGCTCAACGAGGTGGAAACAATAACAAACGCTTGTTATATTCGCGCGAAGGAACGAACGTAATTACAACCACTCGACGAAAGTATCTTGGCCGCGTCGCTTCGTTTGCCTCGGGTGCTCTCGACGCCGCTTCCGGTTCGGTCTGCGCCTTCGTTGCAGCACAACGGAAAATGAGGGAAGAAAATCGCGTGAAAAGAAAATCAAACCGGCTGCCCTGCTCGTCGCCCTCGGTTTCAGCTTCGAGGAAGAAATCAACGCCGGGTAACAATAGCGGATGGAGCCGATGGAGATCTTTGGTAAATCTTTGGTAAAGAGCAACCACAATACGGTATATATATATACACACTATATATATTTATATATCTATATATTTATACGGAAGTTGGCAGTCTGCATTTTGTCGGTGCAAATTTTCCTTCTCCCGGATTCACGTCTCGGCGTTCCTTTCTTGCTTGCCCGCCTTCCCTCCTCCTTAAAAGAGATCTTGACGAATAAATCGGGAATAAACAGGCGGACGCCTAAGTGGCCGTGAACCCGGTGAATGCATTTCAATCTCGTTCCACCGATTTCTTCGTCGCAGTTTAAATGATCACCGACCCGACCCTCTCCTTTTACCACTCCTTCTTTTCAACTCGTCGGTTAAACGTGACCCAACGTTCGAGCCGGACTCCTCTAAATGAAGAATAACACATTGTCCATCGCTTCCTACTATTATACGATTATCATCCCTATTATCGTTATTCCCAGCAATATCACCACGATTACGCCGTGAACCGCTCCTCGCCATTCCTTCCCGCTTTATACCGCCCGCCTTCTTTCTCGCTTTCTTCTCCCGGAAACAGGAAGCCACCGAGAAAAACTTCCTTTCCCCTAGCGAGATCTTATTCTATTCAACGATGAAAAGGGGAGAAGCGACGCCGATTCTCCGTAGATTATCTACCGGTTCGCGAGGACAATTAACTCGTCATTTTATCCCCGCGATTTTATACCGCGTTTCAATATGTACACCCTTTTCGCCAACTGATTTAAATGTTCCTTTCTATATACGCTTCGCATCATTTGTTTCCACGACATACCCCACGCTGTCGATTCAATCTTTTAACGTTTCCACGGGATAGAGACGAGGCTGCATTCATTTCTTTTTTTTTTTTTTTGTTTTATATTTATATTAAGTCTATCCCGTTTATCGTCGCGTTTCTTCCACGATTCTTAGAACGCGGCAAGGCTCATTTTCAGCTTGCTGAAATCGTCATGCACGTGCACACCGGTGGTTCGAATAAAACGTGGACGAGGGGGAGGGCGATGGGTATTATATTCAGACATCGCGAGGATGTAAATTCGCGTGGCAGACTTTAAGTGGCGATCGCGGATAAAGATAGGGCAGCGCGGGTCCGCGCGTTATTGGCCACGAGTTTCGATTTTATCGACCACGTATCCGCGGCCGGATAAGCGGGTGTCGATATTCTCACAAAGTAGTCTCTTTTTCACCCCGTTCCTTCTCGCGCCTGGCAAGAACAACGTTGTCCACGTTAACTCGAATACGCGCATTCGATTCGCACAACGTGAACGGATCGATATTTTTCCCGATGTGCAGCACAGATTCCGCGCGTAGATGGATAAATATATATGTTCGGTCGGTATATAATTATTGGCATAATTATTGCACGATTAACCGTAGATAAAGAGGAAGTTTATCAATTCTCTGGTGCGTGTGGAAGGGTTTAAAGCATAGTCTTAGCTGGCTCGCCGCGTTGCCTAACGAAGCGATCAATACGCCTTATCAGCGATCTCCTAATCAGGAGATACACAGTGCAGGATGAAACCGTGTACAGAATATCGTGTTTGATCAGACGAAACCCCTATTTACTGCTCCTGTCATCGAGTTAAAGTGTTTATTATCGCATTATTACCATATTGCATTGTATCGAGGTAAATCCTTCGCGAGCTATTCACCCATACGATCATCCTTTAAACTGTTTCTCTTCCCGGCCTGCTTGCATTCGCACCAAATAGATAAACATTGGCAATGAAAATTTTCGATCCGTCCGTCAATTTCGAATCTTTTATCGTCATTATCGTCAATATCGTAATTAAATTGTTCAAATTTTAACAAAATTATAGCACGAGTAACGATTAAAATTGGTTAAATTGAAAATTTGATTTATAATCGTGATTTTCGTTTCGTGAGAAGCGCAGCTTTTTTTAAAATTATCCCAGAAACGTTCTTGAAAAATTCTTCTGATTTTTTTATATAATTAACCAATACAAGAGGAATGTACGTGAATGTAACAAGAAATAAACCGCGGACAACGACAAAAATCCCACCGAACAAGTCACCATCAATTTCCCAGGGATTTGAAACGCGTTACACGAACCGAAAGTAGATCGACGAGCTTCTTAAGCGTATTATCGTCGATCGCATCGCGGTATGGTCGAGCGTAGGGCGGCCAAGGAAGCAGAGAGAGAGAGAGAGAGAAGCTTCTCTGTTGAAGCTCCGTTGCCGGTCAATGCAGGCGAGCATAAATTTAGCATGCGTGCGTGGGTGAAGCCCAGCTAGCCGTGCCACGCCTGTTATTGTCCCCTTCCAATATCAAAAAGGGGACTACCTACGCGTTTAGGCTACCTGCAACTTCATCCCGCTTCCATAAAGTCCCGACCGAATCGGAGACGAGTAGTTCTTCTTCCTCGTCTCGAAAAAAGGATCGTTAATTGTCCTGTTAATTGCGTGATCATCACATCTACCTCCGATCGACTCCTTCGCATCTCGATTTTCGCGTTCGATCGAGCTCGAACTCGTTAGATCCACGCGTTTGCACGGCCCCTCGTCGCTCATTGTTTCGCGAGTTTTAATGGCATTCCGTTGAAACGATTTCGACCAGAGAACATTCGATTTCTTCGATTCCTTTCTTTCAAGAAATTCAGAAAAGAAATTGGACCGCCACGACGTATGCATGCATGAATGAGTGTACGAATGGATGTATGAATGAATTCTCTCCTCGAGAAGGGGTTCGCGTTTGATTTCGATCGATCCTTCGATTTTTAACCGCGAACAACACCTGACCGAGCTGCAAACTTTTCTTTCCCGATAATCGAAGGCCGATGAACGGTTAAAAGCGATCGTTTCTTCATTTTTCTTTTTTCCTTTTATTCTCCGTCTTTTCGCTCTCGGATTTTATTTTCTCCATCCTCCTCCCCTTTCCCACTCTATCTCTCTCTCTCTCTCTTCTTTTTTCCCGTAGTCGTGAATTTCGCGGCGTGAAGCAGTGTTAAACGTTATAAAAAAAATATGTTATTACGAAGCTCTTGGTTTTGCTCCCTTTTATCACGGTAATGCACCACCGGCCCCTCTCTCTGATAATGCATTTTGACCCATTTGTCCGGGGGGTCGCAAAAAAGAGTAGGTACGGTATAATCTTGGCACTTTAAGCGCACGCTACATGCCTATTAACCGATGCGGTAATTCGTCCGTGGAGCGGAGCGAGGCCGTGCCGTGGCGTGCCTCTCGCAAAAGGGAATCCTCATCGACTATATCTGTTACGGGAGGGGAGGGGTACCGTTGCAACTGCCACCGGTGTCATTAAATATAATTAAAAACTGTCAGTTACGATTCTAGGAAAAATCGAAAAGAGTAATAGCGCGAAATTTGCTTAATTAACAGAGCAATTACCAAGGGCGAAATATTGCGGCACCGGTTTCCCGGCGAGCGAGCGCGGATAATGAACGCACGATTACCAGAAGAACGCATAATTACAGCCACTAAAAGATTATGGGAACAATGAATCAAAAGGCCGGCCCGACCCTAATGCTTTTCTTGCTCTCGTATCGCGGGAAATTAATAAACGGGGGGACCCTTCCTCGCCACCCCTAATGATCGGGGCGATGAGAAAAGCCCTGAACTTTTGGTTCGTCGAAAATTGTGAAACCTCTGAGAAATTCGCGTGGCATGTCACTGTTTAATAATTGTATATTTAATAATCGATTAGAGGAACGATAATAGTACAACGTCTTTCGCGAAATTTTTATACGCTTGTTTCCACTCTCGTTCTCATTAGTCAAGCGACTCGAGTTTCGAAGAATTTGAAACGCTTCGCTAATGCGAACCTGTTATTTCATCAAACTTGAAATATCCTTTTAAGTTCCGAGCGGAGTCAAAGTTTTTCTCGATAATTCCGCGACTCGAAAGAAGGAACGTTGCCGCGTGATGGAATGTTATTTCCAGTTTTATATCTGGCAATGATCCTTCGTACCAAGTCCACTTCTTTCTGAATTTCAAGTTCGATCTTTACAATGCACGATCACACTTTGTCGCTTTAAAATAAAAAATATCAACCGACTCTAATCTGAATAATAAGAAAATTCAATTGTCATTAGTACAATAATTTCCAATCATCTCACTTTATTCACGCTTCGTAAAAAAAAAATAGAAATCAAGTAGAAATCACGACGATACCGAAACAGAATTCACCATGGCACTTTGGCATTGTAATAAAAATCGAAACGATATCGGAAATGGGATGGAAAATAACTGGAGTCGATCAAAGCGTGATAGCGTCGCGATATCGAAGGTTCGCGTTTGACAAGGAGGAATCCGGCGCAATTAGTGTAGCGGCTCGGCAGCAATTACTCCGAGCAATGTGGTTGGAGAAGTGGAAGAGAGGCACCTACGGAGCTATCATAGAGAGACGAACAAGCGTCAAAACAGTCTCATTAGGGTCATTAGCGTTCGACCGCGCTGCAAAGGACGGCTTGCGCGGCGGGTGCATGCCAGTGCACATTTTGTCTTTCATCCGCATCCTTTCATGCATCAAAGATCCCGGTCCCCGCCGTGAAACGGTGACGAAGACACGGCCGCGTGGCCCAGTATCCCCATCCAATCGCCGCTCGATGCACGCTTTTTGCACCCTGTCCTCGGTCCTCCGTGAAACTTTCCATCTTCATGGTGGCGTGCCCCGTCTTTTTGCACGACGATTTTTACGAGGATCGAGCGACGATTTAACGGCGAAAGAACAAGCATGGCAAGCTTTGATGAAAGCTCGAGCTGGGTGAGAATCAATTATCCCCCGACTTGTTTGAAAGAGAGATGAAAAAGAAAAAAAGGAAAGAAAGGAAAGGAGAGAAAAAAGAAAAAGAAAAGAAGGTGAACGTGAATTCGTGGTTTTATCGGTGGGTGCATTAGGGCATTGGCCGAGATTCAAGGGAAAGGCGATCGTTTCGTTCCCCCTCTCGTATTCCGTTAATCCGTTAATTAATCATCGAAGAGGGGAGGGTGGGGAGGGGGGAGAGGCGCGTTTGTTCGAATCGAGAGACAAAAGCGCGCTCGGGCTCAAAGCTTCTTCGCGAAACTCGCTCTCTCCTTTTCCCTTTTGGAATTCGACCGAGTGCACTTTTTGCCTCGAGAGGAGGAGAGAAGGTTCCTTTTCGCTTTCTTTGTCCCCGTACCCATTCGTTCGTGGATTCGTTCTTATCCCCCCGCCGTCGGTTTCGCGCAGACACGCGTCTCGAGTAGCACGTGGCCATTTAAATCATCGAAGCGCAAAACCGCGTTTGAAAAAAAAAATAAAAAATAAAAAAATAAAAAAAGAAGTAAAAAAATGAAGAGGGCGCGTTCTCCTCGAGTCGTTGGATAGGCGCCGGATAACCCGTTTCGGATAAATATTCGCCTCGGAACGAGGAGGAGGCAAGGAGGGATTGCTCGAAAGTCTCGTGCTCGACTTGTTCACCGAGCCACCTGAAAACCGCGGTTATAAAGGTTTTTTGCTTACCCCTTTCGCTTCGAAGGGTTTGCCGCAATAATTTGAATAAGCCTTGCCCCTGTCAAAACAACCCTCGTCCCGAGACCAAGGAGTTTCCGAGGGGATTTTCCGCCCAGTGCAGCACCTCCGACCGCCTCTTTTTCAACCGACCGTGGGAGGGGGGGGGAGGAGGGAAGTGGTGGCCAACTGAATATTCCCGTGTAACGTTCAAACAAACGAATTGCAAACACGCCACGCGAAAGTACGTTTTTTCATTCCCCTAATTTGATACACGCGTCCTTTCAACCGGCCGGATGTGTATAAGGTGTCTGGACGAGGTGCATGGAAACGTGAGGTTATTCGTGTCGGCCAGGTTTTTCGGATTGTTCCTTTTGTCAGCGCGAATAAGATGGTTGTTGAAACTGTTATTGTTACTGCGGTTTTGAAAAAGTCTTTGTAAATACCGTTTTATACACGTATATAATGGATTAATAGACGGCGTTATATGTTTATAATTCTATTAAGATTCATAGAAGAGATATTTTTCCAAAGACACCCACGTTTACTTTTTATATTAATGTTTCAATGCCAGCTGCATTATTGCGCGAAAGTGAAAGGAAGGATTATCTCTGATTTCTCAAAAGAGAGCACACCTACATCTTCCCTTCTCAAATACAATTCAATAACCACGAAATTCATTTTCACGAAGCGAAACATTGCAAACGCATTGATAGTAAATCAATTCGAGCCAAGGATCCCAAGGATTTAATATATTCGATAAGCCGAATCTTTTGAAACATGTTCACCTGTTGTTCCAACTTCCTATTCACCTACAAAACTCGTCACAAGCGAGACGAATAATTCTACTAAAGAAAAAAAAAAACGAAAAAAGAAACACCATCCATTCGTTCCAATCTTCGTTCACGCTCTACAACAAAACTCGTGAAAATTCGCGAATGCATCGACAAAGCACAAAGATAAGAGAAAAATCCCAAAACGGAGATTTAGCAGCAACGAAAGTGTTGGAGTAACGAGGTATGTTACGTGGACACGTTTGAAACGTGGCGTCGATGGTCGTCGTCCCGTAAATTCCCCGCAGCGCGCTACCCTTCGTTCTGGCTGCCGGTCGTGACCCTCCTCCTCGACCTTCAACCCGTGCCCGGTCCTCGTACCTTCCGTGACGGTGGTAAGTCCTCGGCCGTCCGTGGAAATCCGAAACTCCTCGGTCTTCTGCATTCATTCGTCGCCGCTGCATCGTGTTGCATCCGCGCCGATCGTTACTCACGCGGCGCGAGCGAGTAACGCGCGCGACTCGACTCGTTACGCCGAAATACGCTCGTGGAAAGGCATGACGCATGACGTGGGTCGTGGCGGCCCGTATATTCGTGGGAGACGAGCCGTTAATTGTCCCCTCCACGTCCGCGAATCGAATCGCGCTGATATGAAACCGTGGAACGCATCACGCCTGCAATTCTTCCCAGTTTATGATCCACTCGCGATTTATCGGGGAAGAGAAGAAACCTGGATCTCGAATCGCCTGCCCGCTCGTTCGTTCTTTAATTGCGACGTCCGATTCGGCTCGAACGAATTCTCGGAAACGAGGAGAAAGGATTCGGCCTCGAATCTACGAAGTTGTGGTGGAGAAAGGGAAGGATACGTTTTAGGGAATTTAGAGGATTTACAGAGTGCGTCGAATATACTTGTGAATCTTGGTGAATGATCGAATTTATATTTATACAAAGAAAGAAATTGGTAATGCATAATTTAATAAATAAAGGTTAAGGGAATATATATTTCCCGTATAAGGGAAACTGCAACTTGTCTCGTAACATTGAGATTATATTCATGACTTTGGGAATTACAGTTCAACTTTAACAAAGTGGGATCGTGTTTGTAACGAAGTTTAGGAACGGAGTTTAAAATTACATTGTAAATACAACGTTACATCACAAGAATTTTCTTAGAAACTATCTACTAATCTACCGGAATTAATCTGAACGCGGGATTAATCGGCCGAGGAAAATTTCGCGTCCAAAATTCCTCACGATTTCTCTCGATTCCCTCGAGAATAGCGCGATGGAGGCAAAATTTACTTGCCAAAATTTACCTTACCTTGGTCGCATAAACCGTGGCCGGTTATCGGGTGACTCGGATAAAGAAATAATTTGAGCGTTAATCGCGCGAGGCATGGCGGCGGCAGTTCTCAAATTGATCGGATAAAGCCGCGTCACGAAACGTGCTAATTCACGCGGACACATCCGATACGTTAACTCTGGCCGGCGAATGAAACGTTTTCGAGGGGCCCGGCCCATAATCGTACGTCAACCGGAACTCGCGAGATGCGGGGAGAGGCGGAATTCCATTTCGCCTCACCCTCTATGGATTCGCGGAACTCGCGCGTTTCGGCCAGGCTGTCTGCCGCGCGCAGTATAGCCGAGTTACGCGATGTCATGGGAATCGGGGCTGATCGTTTTCCATCGTTTTGCATCGAGAGAACACCGTTCCCCTCCCCCCCATCTCTCTCTCCTTCTCTTTCCTTCCGAGAAGGAGGATCGGGCGAGAGAGGTCGGCTGTCTTGCCGGTGGAATACAAATGCGTCTACGATCCTCGCGGCTCGCACCCCGAAATCCAGACGTATTTGCTACGCACGGCCGCGTCGCCCATAATAATGCGCCACGAATTTAATCTCTCGGGTCCTATCGTAAATACGGTTCGCCTTGATTCACGGCCCGGCCCGATACGACCGTTCCGCAACCGGAGAGATGTCTCAGGTACGAAGCGGGGAATATTGGGTATAACTGTGTTGGGGGGGAACAGGAGCGTGGAGGATTCCCTTTATTCATTTATTTATTTATTTATTCATTCATGGAAGGTAATGTTTTTAATGTGTATTTAAAGTGAAACGTTAAGGTATACGTTGTTGTGCAAAAATTAATATTCAATGTTCGGATTTGGAAAGTAAGGAGATTCTTCTCTTTTTTTTGTTACAGGTGACAAAAACGGATCCGATACGAGGAAAGTGAATAAATTAGAATTAATGTGGGTATAAATTTCGGTGCGGGATGATCGAACGAAAGGTTAAATGGGTGGTTTTAAAGGAGATAGATCTACTTTTGAATCGCGATATAATTTTCGCGTGTAATTAATAACATTCGGGATATTAAAACGAAAACGATAAATTCAATAGGTCATTTCCTAAGGGTGGAGAATGACAAATGGCCGTAGAATTGAATTAAAGAACCATCGTCATCGTTCGGAAATACCGTTTCGCATCCGTACGACACTTTTCCAACTGGAAGTTAGAATTAATTTTGCGGAAATTTCGCTCCAAACCGAATTAACTCGCACGCGAGAGAGGTAAATTTAAATTAAACCGAGAAACAATCAAATCTCTTCTAATCTCCACGTTGGGGGAGGCCTCGAATTCGCGTCGCGCGACATTTTCATCGGCGCCAAAACACGCGGAACGATTAAAACGATTCCAAAGCAGGAGGATAGATTTAGCGCGACCTCTTCTCCCCCTCCATCGAGGAACAGAGAGAGTTTTGATCCAGCCAGCTGCCAAACTCGTTAAGACTCGCCTCGTTATCCAACCACGCCGACTCAACTCGTTTACGTGAATTAATGCCCCGATAGTATCGGCTCGGGTTAACGCGGCGTAACAACTAACTATTCTTCTCCGGTTAAAAATATCAGGACGAACACTGCAGACGCGCACTTCTCTCTCTCTCTCT